AACCAACAGCATGTCTATAGGCTCGCCAGTGCTATGCTGACTAGCAGTATGGACGAGAGGGACTTGAGGGTCAGGAGTGACCACAAAAGGAACATGAGCCTTCAATGTGATGCTGTAGCTAGTAGAGTGAGCAAAACGCTGGCTTGCATCCATAGATGCTTCTCAAGCAAATCCCAGGACGTCTTTCTCCCATTGTACTCGCCCTTGGTGAGGCCGCAACTGGAGTACTGCATCCAGTTTTGGGCTCCACAATTCAAAAAGGATGTGGAGAAGCTTGAGAGAGTCCAGAGAAGAGCCACGCACATGATCAGAGGTCAGGAAAACAGACCTTATGATGAGAGGCTGAGAGCTATGGGACTCTCCAGGCTGGAAAAGCGCAGACTCAGGTGCGATCTGATGGCCACCTATAAGTTTATCAAAGCTTTTCATCAGGATCTGGGGGAACATCTGTTCACCAGAGTGCCCCAAGGGATGACAAGGTCGAACGATTATAAACTCCTGCAAGACCGTTGCAGGCTGGACATAAGGAAGAACTTCTTTACTGTCCAAGGCCCCAAGGTCTGGAATGGCCTGCCACCGGAGGTGGTTCAAGCACCTACTTTGAAGGCCTTTGAGAGAAACCTGGATGTTTTTCTTGCTGGGATCCTATGACCCCAGCTGACTTCCTGCCCCTGGGGTAGGGGGTGGACTTGATGATCTTCCGAGGTCTCTTCCAACCCTAATATCTATTAAATCTATTCCTGACTCCTGGCCTTTGACAAATGCGATGATAGGTTTGGAAGGAAATCTCATTGAAACTTCCTCCATTGACATATAGCCTGGGCAATATGGGGATGAAGTGGCTTCCTGAAGGGTCTGAAAAAACATCGGTGAGGATCCACTATAAAGAATCCCCCAAAGAAAGTAGGTATGACTATATTAAATTTAATTTTTCAATGAGAAATTTAAGTATTCCATTACTTAAGGCTATGGCCCCCTCCTTCCATAAATGTTGCCTTTTCATGCTCTTCAACACAAGTGGACAAATTAACTGGTTTGTTCCATGGTTGAACTAAGTGACTGAGGCTGCATCTACACAAGACACTTAACTGCGCAGTAGCTTGTCACTACTGCACAGTAGCATCACATAGGACAAAGCGTGATATGATGCTACTGCACAGTAGTAATGAGCTACTGCACATTTAGTGTCACCAAAAAGCTGTTCGGGGATGCTACTGTGCAATAACAACTGCGCAGTCAGTGTCCTATGTAGACACGACCTGAATGTTCCAAGTGAAGCAGGTGACCCAGTTCTGCTCATAGGTCATAATCCTTGCGTGAATTTATAAGAAACTGTGAAGATATGGAATGTTTGTAAAATGCTTCAAGATTGTTGGATGAAAAGTGCTATGGAACTGCAAGGCATTATCAGAATGTATAAATTATTAATAGGGTAACAATAATAAATAATAAGTTGATTCTAATAGGGCTGTTTGTATGCCCAGAGTCTCCAGCATTTAATGATGTTTTCTTTGAAGTTAATATGCCTCAAATGGGAAGAATACTATGGCCTGAAATATTAATGCTGAATTTCTTTGGCACAACTATGCTACCTTGAAATGTCTGGAAGGTGCAGTACTTTGCACAGCAACGTTTTCAATGTCCCCATGAAAAATAAACAGAATATTAAATTCTATTTAGAAGCTGAAATATATATCTGAAATAGACTTTGCTCAAGCTTTGTTGAAAAAACAATTTATTACAGCATTGAATCATCCTGATGAAAGAAAAAAAGAGTTTAGCTTGTTTATAAACCATATAGAAGCCATGACTACTTAACCCAATTATAGAAAGTCTGTACTTTCTATACTTATTCCTTCCCTCCACCAGTGAATGCCGTCACATAGTCAAGATAGGGTGCTGCATACTCCTGGTGCAGCTGCAGTATTTTGTGGATTAGGTGCTAAAATGTGGCGGGGGGCCAGGGAAGGCAAAAGGGAGGACTCAAAGCACTGTGCATGCTTTTAATTCTCAGGACTTCAGAACACAGGGAATCTGCCAGTATCTGCCAGTCAAATCCCACAATTATATATATTTGGCTTTCTTCAGCTGCTGTAATAACTCATCGACCAGGGGCAGCAGGTAGGCAGCAAACTGACACTACGTTCAGCTGAAAGAATTCAATACAAACATTGATCATCTTTTTTGGTTTGGGAACCAACACAATGGGGCTACACCATTCATTTAACGACTGCTAAATCAGTTCCATATCTAGCATATTCTGCACTTCCTTCTTCAATGTTTCCCATAGTTTCTCAGGTATTTGGAAGAATCCCTTTTGGATAGGACATCCTGGTTCTGGATGATCCTATGTTTAAATTAGGGTGGTCCTTCATTGTCAGGTTGTGAACACATCTGGAAATTCCTTCCACAGGGCCTTTACCTCCTACTGAGCTATGGACAAGTTTTCCCCCAGAGCACCCTCACTGGTTGGGAGTTGAATTATTTTTTCCATATTTCTGGTATTTGCTGAAAAAATAGTTGAAATGTTCAGTGTTCCTTGGACTTGCCAGGGTATCAGAAGATTCATGATATATTTAGGACCCATACCATCTCTCCCCATGCCCCCCTCCCCCTTGCCCAAGATACATATCCCCCACTTGCCTTATGATCTTATTGTGACCCTGCCATTTAGAAAGCAATTTACTCGCTGATGAAGGGAGCAACAACAGGATCCAAATCCCAGACTGAGAGACCCAGTCATGAGTTTTTATTATAGTATTATTCTGGAGCCTGCTGTTCAGTCCTAAGGTTCTCTCAGGTGAAGGCCCCCACTAGGTCCAGCCATTCTCATAGTCTGAGAACTGACTGGATGACATTTTGAGACTTCATTTCCTGTGTCTACCAGGTCTCTGAAAGAGGTTCAATATATGTTGGGGCTGCCTTCTACATGAAAATTCAAAAGGAGAGAGCCCCATGGAGGACTGAGGAACCTCCTGGATAGCAAACACTAAGTACAGCAGGCAAACACCCCATTTTCAGCATTTTCTGATCACAGATTTCCAGACTGTTTCCTCTTAAAGGAATAGAATGCCCTGATACAAAGCCCAAGTGTATATGGGGTATTAAATGGAACATATTTTTGCCATTCTCATTTATAATATAGAGGTACAACCTATAGCTTCCTGCTGGGAACAAATGCTGTTCCAAGCCAGGATCAGGTGCCTTTATGTCTTTGCTTATGGTAAAAGAGCTGCACTAGCCTGTGAGTTGCAATTTGCATCTTAGAGCTTTAATTCTGTGGTTTCATAAAAAATGAAAAAAAAAGCTTAATTTGAATCTATTCTTCCTGAGACTTTCAACCTTATTAGACTCAAGGCACCACTTAGAAAATGTCAGCTCTTAGTTTTCATACATTTTTGACTGCAGAAAAAGAACAGAGCAATTACTTGGTTGCAAAGAACTCAGAAAGATTACAACAGGTCAGAATGTGGTAGGCATTGTGGATTGTTATTTGAAATCTCTGGGTTTATTTTGTAAGTCATATCTACACACCTAACAGTGCTAACAGTATGTGGACCACAGAACCCTGGTTAAGAATCACTGCCTTAAATAAATTTCTAAACCATAGCAATGATTAGAGGAGAGCCATCACCAGCAATAAATTTAAAGCCCTCAATTGTGCAAATTCCTTTGCACTGGGGATGAATAAGCATGCATGCATAGATAAGCACAATTAGTATGCCATGTGCTTGCTGTATGTGTGTATCTGAGTATAAATCCAGAAAAAGCAGGAAGAGCAAGGTGGTTTAACCCCAAAAGCTGAAAGGTTAGGGCTCTCAGGCAGGAAGCCAGAGACACGATATCAATGTCCCCTTCATTCAAGGGGACACTTTTTGGAAGGGTTTGCACTCAATTCTTCCAAAATTCCTAGCATAGTGCACTAACTATAACACCATTGACTAGGCAGCAGCTAACTTCTTCTCCAGTGCTTCTTTTGAGGCTGAACCAGTGCCCTTTGAATTTAAAATAGATGGAGAGCAGTGCAGTGCAGAAATTTCTTTTAGGACCCAGGGCTAGCTCCCTCCCATAGCTGCAGTTATCTGATAAGCTATAAACCATTTCGCTTACTCTCTTAAACTGCAAATGGTTCTCTCATTTATGCTAGGATAAACCATTTTATCCTAAAACAAAGCAAAATTACACAGATGTCCATGTCCACTGTCCTGGGATAAATCCTAAAGCAGTTTCCTAGATAAGAGGTGGTAATGGCTTATCCCAGGATATTGTAAAGTATGTCTCTACAGTAATCCTAGGATTCTGCCATTGAATCAATGGCAGCAAAGTGGTACTGCATTCAGCTGCTTACTAAACCCTGACTACACACACCAAACCCATGATATTTGTATGCTGGGATAAACACAGGCACAATTTATCCAGGGCCAAATTTAACATCTATTCTTAGCCTTACTCCTGGCCCCACATAGCTCCTGCTCATGGCTTCCCAAACAGACTAGCTTCAAAAGGAGGGCTGAAAAGGGAGACTAGAAAGTGCCTCTGATGTAGTGCTTAGCCTGATGTTTTAAGAGGTCAGAAAGGTACAGGTTCAAATTTCCTGTAGGCAAAGTAGCTTTCTAGAAACTGGATCCCATGTATCGGTTTCTCTGTGTCTATTACTGCAGTCTTTTACAAATATTACTCAATTATGCCTCACAACACCCTGATAAAGGTGTGGGGGCATAACTCACCTAGGCAGTCCATTATACAGCCAAAAATAGATTACACAAATCTTGATTCCCAACCCATAGTCTTACCATGTAAAGTTATTCCATTCTTTACGAATGGAACATGTTGTGTCATCTCTGAACTGTGGGCAGCCTCCAATTTATCAGATCCTATAGGGACTGATTTAAGGCCTTTTGAAATTGAATAGAAGATTCCCATTTACTTCATCAATTCTGGATGAAGCCCTAGTGAATATAAGAGATATCAAGTACATTTACTTAAAGTTAAATAGTTACCTTGATGCCACCCCATGAATGATTAGATAGGAACTCTACTGGACTCGTGACTCCTAGCTGTAAGGGATAGCGAAGCAGGAAATCCAGTTCCACAATGTTAATTTCTTTATTCATCAGAAGTATCTGCAATGTCAAAAAACAATGTACTTTAGAAAGACTGGAATACAGCAGACTAGATTAAGACATTACATGTCAGAATCTGTGTCTAAACCGTATGAAGCCGGACCAGCCAAATGAGATTGGTAAAATACATTCTAGATACTGTAAGAAAGCATGGGAGCTGGAACAGAGCATCCAGTCCAGTACTTCAATGGTACTGAAGTTATTAAAAAGGACTTGGATAGTGACAAAGCCTGAAGGTGCCACTGATAGTAAATGGGAATGCCTGCTGGCAGAGAAGGCATGGGTATTTCAGGGATTCTCTATTTCTTGCAGTGTACAAAGTCAGGACCGGATGTCTTTCTAAAACAGCAGCTTCAATTTAAACAGAAGATATGGGCTTGATTTAGAAATCAGTGGACAAGGATATCTGGTCCTTGCTTGTGTAAGCTCAGAGCACGTAGTCACAAGGGTCCTTTCTGACTTTAAAAATCTATAGCTATAGAATGACTGGCTGCTGTATAACCAACTAACTACTGGCTTTTGGGGGGCAGTACATTATTAATGAAAATATGTTTTCAGTTCACTGAAATATCAAAAATATGTAAAACTGGTGAGAGGAATTATTTCACAATCATGAGAAAGGAAACAATAAAAAATCCTGTATGCACTTTTGAATGGAATATACCAGGTAATATGTCAGGTTTACTGGGCTCTGGTGGTTTATCTAGTCTAAGATTCTTCGGAACTGTTTGTGTAATGACATTCAGAAGACACTGAAAACCAGTGGTACACATGGGAAGAAGAAGAGCATGTTATATATAACATGTTCTCCTGAAATTGGCATTTGAACAGCTGTGAGCTAAAGATGGTCTGGGACATTCATCTGATGAAAATTCTTGCTATGCATCTTTGATTTAGTTAGTCCATAATGTCCAAATGTACCTGCCCTCTGACTGACTTCAGACTAACATGAATAACTGCCTCTCTCTGGGATATTCAGCCATCATTTATTTTTCAGGTTGTGAGGGAATGACTGCTGACTTTTACTCCTTTCTATATCTCAGATTTGGCAATTGTATCTCAATATTAGCTCATAAAATCATTGTTTTGTTGTAAAAAAATCCTGGTTAACATATGAACTTTTATAAATTCTGTTTTGTTATTTAGTTCAAATGGGACTTATGTTTTCATATGGATAAAAATAATCTCAGCACCAAATTTACTTCACTTATGGTTAAGTGCAGAAACGTAATGTTCTTGAAAACTCAAAATAAATTAATTAAAAGTTTAGCATGTGATACCAACTTATGTGCTACCAAATACTTTTCCTAGAAAAAGACATGTACACATTCGTGATGGGCATGTTGAAAGTGCATACATATTTTGTGGGCAGAATTAAGGAAGTCTGTAAAAATATAAAGTTATTTTTCACGTCAATAATTTAATGTACCGACAGTAACTGTAAAGGGATATTTTTTATAAATTCCCTTTCTTGGTAACCTCTACACTTTGTAGCAATTAAACATTTTGAAGTGTAATGTATTTGTTATATAGTTTTTAATAAGGATTACATTAAGAATTAGAGGAAACTTAATTATACATTAATATATATTTTGCAGAGGAATAAATGAAACTCATGCTAGATCTCTCCAAAGCCATGGCATTTTATGCATTAACTCTCAGACTGCTACTCATCATGCATAATTCATAGTAACTTTACCACATAACAACAGTCACTGTATAAGCATTTATTTTAATTCAACCTCTAGATATAATATAGAAATTGAAATATATAATATGCATATAAAAAGGACTTCTACCTACGATTCAAAAGGACTCAGTCTAAGACAAAACAGTGGCAGCTAACCACCTTTCTCTGGCCCAAAACTTGTCCATGAGGACCAACCTTCTCATTTTCTTAGGTCCCTCAATCAACCATTACTGGTTGCCAACTTAATAAAAATCAAACACACCACCTGTGATTGCTAGCAGGGATAAGGGCAGAAAGAGACAACATATTCCCAAACCAACTTCATTAGCTGTTATGAAGCTGAAGGCTGTGCAATTTTGCATTCTGTCCTGGAAGATAATGTACAATGTCAATAACTTAATTTTTAAAATAAGTGATTGAATGTATAAAAGCTGATCTTGTTTTTTACCTGGAAGGTAACTTGGGCGGTGTAGGTGAGTTTGTCACATTCAAAAAGCCCCCTCGTAGTATACTGGAACACGGAGAAGGTGATGCTATCAATGAGGTTTATTACACGCTCTTTGAGGTTCTCTTCTGGAAGAGCCCTCTCAATGGCCTTGTGGAAAACAACACTGAAAGCCTGGGTTGTGAGACATAAGAAAGACTGTTTTATAATTCCTCTTTTAATGCCCCTGGATATTGTGTAACATTTCAACAGAGTAAATTAATTCAAGTGGGTTTTTAATTTTTAGTCTCAGAAATCATAAATAAAGTAAACCACCCGGTCAAGTGGTATCAGATGCCAGCTCTAGATAAAAGGGTAATGGGCTGGAAGCTAGGCCTTGTACTAGCTTTTTGGTGTGTTTAGTTGTTTTCTCTTTTTACCGGATAAGCTCTAGTTTACAACTATTTGATGGGTATACAGTCATAAAACAATGACCTTGTAAACATTCATTTGGGAGAGAGTGCATAGATAAGCAAACTCAATTATTTACAGGAGATATTTCATGGACAAGGCATAGTCTCTTACACCTCTGTAAGAGGTGTAATACACCTCTGTCTTTTCTGCAAAAATTCAGAGTAGACATCAGGAGGTGCTACTTCACTGTCAGGGCGGCTAGGATCTGGAACCAACTTCCAAGAAAAGTGGTGCTGGCTCCTACCCTGGGGGGCTTTAAGAGGAGGTTAGACGAATACCTTGCTGGGGTTGTTTGACCCCAGTATTCTTTCCTGCCATGGCAGGGGGTCAGACTTGATGATCTGCTCAGGTCTGTTCCGACCCTACCTACTATGAAACTATGAAGCTGCTCTTAGAGCCGCTGTAATTAAAACACTCCCCCACCCCGCAGCACGTGTACAGACGTCATATGATTCCAAAATCACATATCCTGTCATGCACATGTGCCATGGCAGGAGATGCAATTCTTTAAATGAAGAATGTATACCATTGAGTCTTTAAATGAACATCTGTCAGTGGCATTAGACGATTCTATTATCTATGATATTGATAGATATGAGGAATGCATCTACTAAATGGCATACTTGTACATTTCTCTAATAAATATATCTCAGCCCTATATATCACAGAAAAGACACCTCTTTAGGACTGTGGCATGAGTTTAGTATTTTTATATTTTTTTGTCTATACCTGTTTCATCTGACTTAGCAAGTTTAGAAACTGTCTGGAAGAAATCCTAACCTTCACAGGTTCTCAAAGATGACAGACAATGGCTCTGAAATTACTGTAGCTAATTCCTCACGTACTCTTGGATACATCCCATCAGGTCCTGCTGACTTGAAAACATGCAGTTTCTTTACATAATTCCTAACCTGTTCTTACAGTACTCCAGGTTGTTTGCCTCCTTCCCTATCTCTCCGGCCAACAAAACTCATCTGGTTGTTGACTTTACTTGTGAAGGTGGAAACAAAAAATAGCATTAAATACTTCAGTCTTCTCTGCATCATTTATAACTGGATTGTTTTCTGCGTTCTATAAGGAACCTTCACCTTCTTTGGTCTTCCTCTTACTTCTGACATATTTGCAGAATCCTTTTATATCACTTCCAGGCCCTTTGCCAGTTGCATCTCAAACTGTGCTTTGGCCTTAGTGATTTTCTCCCTGCATGCTTATGCAATATTCTTATATTCTTCCTTGGTTGTATGCACAAGTTTCTGTTTCATGGGATTCTTTTTTGAGGTTTAACTCATGGAAGAATTTATTGTTTAGAGGGAAGGAGTCCTGGGGTCAGAAAAAGAGTAAGTGGGAATGTGACTGTGCTCCAGCGAGCAGGGAACTGGCTTGGGAGAGGGAGCACCTGGGTTTTGATGCCTGACTCCAAGCCTGTTTCTGTATTTTATCAATATGTTCAATGCAAAATGCATAAACAATACTTGAAGCATAGGATTGGACCATCCTATATTATGATTGTGTTTAGTTACTTAGATACCTAGGATATGGACCAAAGTTACGTTAGAAAGTCGTAAATTACAGCAGTCTTCAGTTCCCATGAAAACTGAGCAATAGAAAAGAATGGGCATGTCTACACATTCATTAATGTGCCATAGTTACTGTACATTAAACTTAGTACTTGTATAATCAAATACTAAATTAACATGCAGTAACTGTCATTATTGTGCAGTAGTGCCAGCATATACCCTTTTAGTGACGCTACTGTGCAGTAGCCTAATAATACTGCGCAGTAGCGTATTAGCATTGTTTGTGCTGTGGTGCACTACTGTGCAGTATTATTAGGCTCCTGCGCAGTTAGTGCCTTGTGTAAACATGTCCAATGAAACCTATTTTTATATTAAGAGTTAAACCACCCTGCCCTCAATCTGGCCCAAGAAAACAAGAGATTCCTTTCCAACATAGCTAGTAAATGAAACAATCAAATTATTCAGAAGACCATGTGGGAGATTTCTTTGGGCTTAAAAGGGTTGTACCTTCAAAGAGAACTGGTACATTGGGTGGATGGTGTTGAGATCATTCATTATGAAGTAAAGCAGAGAAGCCCGGGCTGAAGCAGGCCGATAGTGTTCCCTTGCCTCATTTATCATTGTTTCTGTCACTTTGGATTCCTGGACCTGTGAGGAAACAAAAGACCAAAACAATTGTGAAACCAGAAAAATATCTATTTTAAGGTTGAATCCTTCTAATTTAAAAAAGTATGAGGATGGAGAGACTGATGCTTCTCTACAGTCCCTGGTAAAGTTAGTACATAAAAGGAAAATAGAGGACTAAAGAGCAAGTGAAATCCCTCTATGATCAATGCATAAAATAATTCTTTGTACTATGGAGCAAAGAGATTTAGCCACTATGGCTTTACACATTGTAAAGTGAGAACTTGATCTGTTAAACAACTAAGACATCCTTCTTTCCTTTTCATGCAGGTTTGTTTTCAGACTAGTGATAGCTAGACAGACCAGAATATTGTTTATCCTAAGGATATCCTTATCCTTCCCTCTTTAGCCTTAGTTATTTGCTGTGGGTTCTGTTTGGTGTGACAGTGTAAGAGGGTGCTCTGTCTCCTTAAGAGGGAGCAGCCAGCCCTGTTGAGTTGGCTAATGATAAAGGAGTGTCTCATTGGGAACTTAAAAACACCAGGAAGAAAAGCAGCAAGGCAGTGAACTGTGAGGGAACAGTTGCGAGACAAAGACAGGCAGTGGGCTGAACTGCTTGCTGCATGGAGAAGCCAGACTACTCTGTAGGGCCAGAGCCACAGGGGTCCTCTCCCAGTGCACTCTCCCAGTGTCCATAGGGGTCCTCTCCCAGTGTCCAGGACAGGACAACAGGATTTTTACTTGTGTGGACTGGCTGAGGAACTCCTCAGGGAGTAACCTGGAGAAGCTTGCAGGAGAAGCAACCCACCTACAGGTTTTTTTACATGCTCATTAGGATTGTTCCCTGGCTTCCCTCTTTATGGAATTAGAAAGTGTTTCACAAAGCATTTGGCAATCTTAAACATTTCCAAATGTATTTTAGCACTCTTTGATACCGAATATCATTGTTCCCCAATTGTTTACTTTTAATAGGTCCCTGAAGGTTGCCAATAATTATCCCTACTCTTGATTAACCAAAATTATTATTTTTTATCACCAACTATTTTTTCCTTATGAATCATCTTTCATCCTCCATTTATGTGATTAATAAATATAGGACACAAAATACATCTAGGTCTAGCACTGATCCTTAGTTGCCTTCACTATTAAACTTTTCCAGGTTGAGAATTGATCATTTACTACTCCTACTTCTGATTCCTTTCTTAAATAGAGAACAATCCAAAACAGATGCATACTGCTTGCACCTGTCGATAACAAGGATCCTGTTGTGAGTTTATCCCATTCTCTCCTCTGGCCTAGTTTGTTTTAATTATATTTTTACTACGTTTTGCCAGGTTAAAGAGGTATAATTTATCATTACAAAACCTACATTAAGCTATGTCTGCCCCGCAATCAAGAGGGCTGCTCTCGTTCTGGACAGTCATATCTGAGATAGCTATAACCTAGCTAAATCTGGTACCACTGCGGTGAAGATGTGGCTGCATGGGCTGTAAAAGCTGACACTGAATTTGGCAGATTGCACCTGGTCAGCCCAGGCAGCAGGGAGCCATACTGCTGCCTGGCTAAGCCCTGAGCTCCAGGGAGTGGGTGGAGCTGCTGCCCCCAGCCACATGAACTCGGGCTTGGCTGTGGCTGGTGCTCTCAGGAGGAGCACATGTGGATCCAAGACACTGGCTGGGGAGGTGGAAGCACACAGCCCAAGGCAGAGAGCAAGGAACAGGCAGGTGTGGGGATGCAGGGTCTGAGCACACTGGCACTTTCCTGTCTTTTGCCGAGAGCTCTGCAGGCGCACTGAGCACAGCCCTGCACCAGTGTAGTAACTGCACAGGGAGCAGCAGGCCAGGAGGCATGCCAGTGTAGACCCCTGCTCCATAGAAGCCCCAGAGCCAGGCATAGCTGGTGACAAGCTGGGCCAGGCTCTGCCATTATACCAGATACTGAAGGGGAACAGGGGCCCAGACACCCCAATGTGGGATGGGATCGGCCGCTCAGTGGTGTGAAGGCAGTTCCCAGCCTTGGAGCTGCTGCCTGGTCCCTGCTGCCCTACACCCCAGCACCTCCCCCTCAGCTACAGGACATTCACTGAGGGGAAGCTGCGGGCCCCGCTGCCACTGTAATCACAGCTCCTGAGGTAAGGAAGAATAGGTATGGTATGAGCACCAAGGGCCCCACCTCCCCAGCTGGTGGCTCGGATCCACACACGCTTCTCTTGGGAACATCAGCTACAGCCGACCCCAAGTTCCACGCAGCTGGGAGCTGCCTGCAGAGCCAGGGACAGCTCTCCCATGCCTTCCAGAGCTCACACCTGACCCTGTACCTTCTGCCAGCCTGCAGCTGGCACCCAGGGAAGCGTGGAGCCCCCCCTGGCTGCTGCAGGGGAGGCAGAGCAGGACAGGAGCAGCCCTGGACTAAGCTGCTCCTGTAGGGCTCAAATTGCTCTGTACCCAGACGCACATGTAGACATGCACCAGGGAGCAGTTTAATGAGCCTTTATTCACTGTGCAGTAAATTCAGGCATGCGTAGACACACCCACCGACAACAACATGGATTGGTTTAGGATGCAAATTTATAAGCAGGGACCTGCATGGTACTAAGCATCTGAGTTCTGTGAAGATTACTGTATACCACTAACTAATGGATTCTGACCTGCCATCTGGCCTAAAATTCTGGGTTTAACTGAGGAAATGTAAAGTATTCAGAATTAACTGTAGTAAAAAATAAAGTCAAATATTAATCTGGAACAATCTAAACTATCTAGATATAGTGTTGAAGTTTTATTGTCTTTATATCAGGCACTGTTAATTTCATTTGGTCTTAAACAGGCCATTTAACATACATAACCTTTGAAAAATTAAACAGCTTGAAGCCAGCCAAAACGGGGACTGAAAAGATTTACATTTCTCTATGTAGCAGAAGAGGCAGAGCTGACACCAACAATTCTTTAAAGATGAGTAACACCTCCCAGGTTCTTTCTCCTGACTCTGACTTTGCCTTTTTACCTTTTCTTCAATTTCTGCAGCTGTCTGTTTGGTAATTTCCAAATTTTCCACCAACTCTGTGTCTCCCAAGAAGTTCCCAGATGCTGACGAGAGCCGGGAAAGCAAATTGTCCTCCAAGGTTTTTAAGGTGATTTTGAATCCATTCTGCTGCTTTGTGAGGTCTGACTATAATCAAAAGTGGAAATTTCAGCCATAGATACATATTAAGAGCAAGGATTAGCCATTACCATGTTAGAATGACACTTCCATTAAGCACTTTCACAGGCTAATATTTATAATAATCTGTTTATTCTCAGTCTTTAAGTTTGTGCATGCAAGCACGGCTCTGGACATTACTTCAGATCCCAGGATACAGTTTTGTCTGAGAAACCAAGGACATGGGAATGAGATGTGACAGAAAAAGTAATCCCCTTAGCAAGGACTGTATTAAAATTAGGGAAGGCAAACTAGCTGGGAAAAAAAGGACAGGCACAGAGCACAGTCACACATCCATGAGTATACACCAGAATTTCAAATGAGCATTTTACCCCACTAACATACCCATCTAACTCAGTTTAGAGATGTGTTTCCCTCAGTGTAGTACCAAGCTACTAACATGCTACTATTCCCCCCCCCCCACCCCCATCTGGGATTCCCCAGGAACCCTCAGTATCCCTGTCCAATCCACAACAACAGAAATCTAAGCACTGTTGTAAAACTGGTTGAAGATTAATAACTAAAAGTGAAGATGGCCAAACAACAGAAAATATACTTGTATTCAAGGAGATGAGTTCAGAACATACTTCGAACTATTTCATTCTTACAATCAAAGTCTCTCACAATCAAAGTCACAATAACAAACTTGCTTAATTTCTACTATTATTTGTATTCAAGCAATGCTCCGCTGTGCTAGAAGCTGCACATACAGAAAAGAGAAGACAGTTCCTCTGCTAAACAGACTGATATTAGAAAGACAAGGCAGTCAATCAGAAATAATTAAACAACTAAGTAGCTTGCCAAGATCCAGACCTTGTCAATAACCGTGAAATTTCTTTTGAGTTTTCCTTCCCAAAACAACTCTGCCCTTCAACAGCCTACCCTGTTTTCAGATACCACTTACTATTAACCAGTAAAAACACAGGAAAAATAATCAATACTAGATAGCATTCATGATGAAACAAAGGGCATCTTTCCTTTCTCCTCTATTGTTGTTTCTTTCTCTGAATCAAGGTAGAAACAGATGTCACTTTTGTGCCATAACAAACATTTTTATGGCCGAACGAAGGCCAAGCAAATAGATGTTTATACCTCTTGTCATGCCACAAATGCCCAACATTTGTGGCCATGCCACATGTGGTAACAATTTCTGCTACTTTATTGTGGGAGACATCTATTAGCTTTAAGGTGTAAGACCATGGGCAGCCCAGAACTGCCTGCGGTCTCCAGTCAACTAAGACAGGCATTTCTGGGGCTTCAATCCTGGGAATACTTGCACAGGATCAAGCTTATCAGACTCTGGACCTCTTAACCAGCTTTCCCCTTACAGACGCATCCTGGGCAATCTCTGTGGTGCATCTCTGTACGTGGAGAACCCCAGCCTTTTCCTCTTTCCATGTGCCCTGAAAAATCTTACAGATGTGTCTCTGTAATCAGGGAACACATTTCCCGCTGTGCTGCAGGATCAGGCAGGACCCTGCTTAATGTAGGACAATGGGCCACGTGTTTGCCCAATGAAATGGATCATCTGCAGTGGCACTGTAACAGGACCAGACCCCCAGGAGCAGCTGTGACACCCCCTGGTGGTCATATGTCTCCTACCTGGCTCAATCTCTAAGATACCTTCCCTTGATTCCTCACCTGTCAAAGCCTTCTTCTTATTAAAAGATTAAAAAAGGAAGGCTGCACATGGGTCTCACAATGAGCCCAAGTCAATTCCCACCAGCAGATCCCCTCTCTCTCTGACTCCACTGATCACACCACTCTCTCCGATTAAGTGGGCCCTCCTGCATGAGGGACTGGTGCCTCCTGAATCTGGGGGAGCACCCGCAGAAGCCGCCGACAGCTGCGGCCCTGTCAGGGGGGCAGCAGCCCTACCGACAGCACCGGTGTCTGCCGTCAGGGGACACCTGCCCCATCAGCGGGGCACGTGCACCCCCTAACAGTTGCCTATGCTCTTCTGGCCCATATGTGCCCCCAAGGCAGCCATTACGTTATGGGTTAATCAAAGTCTCTGTACCTCCTCTACAGCTGTGCTCATGCCTCACAGATATCACTGTACCAACATTCCCTTGTTGGGACCTCAGCCTTCCCAGCCTCCACCCCTTTTCTCTAGCTGAGCCTTCTAACCTGGGCCTACTGTACTGGATCTGGCTTCTAGGCACCAGCTTTTATCTTGATTACCTTGGTTCTGGGTCCCCTGGCCCTGTCTTCACCCTGCTCTGGGCACTGAGATTGCTTTGACTCTATCTGAGACCCCTGGTCCTACTTCAGACCTGCTCTGGCTCCAAGCTCTGCCCCTCCCTGGACTCTGGGGCCTCTGGCCCCAGACTCCACCTTGAGGCTGACTCCTGTCAGGGCTCAAGGCAGTCACATGCCCCTTGGGTGCTAATGAGACCTCCAAACTACCTCTTAGTTCCTCCACAAACCACCAGTTAAAAACTCAGGAAGAAGCCCTCTGCCTATAACACCACTTTCCAATTAGGTCTGAGGCCCAGCCCTAGCTCCTTGGCTGCATCGCTCAGCTCCCTGCTACCCTGAGCCCTATTTCTCTACAAGACATCCCCATTCTACTTGAAGCATTCCCAGGGTAGTTCAGGCATCAGCCAGGAGCTTCTCTGTAGCTCTCCTGCCCTGTAGCTCATCACTCAGCAGCTCCCAGAGCCAGACTGAATGTTCTGGTTCAGACCCTGGGTTCATATGGCTGGCAGCCACGTTACAGTTTGGTCCAACATTTTTGTCAGGCATGTCCAATTAGCCACACACCATCCTTGAATACCACTCCAATGCCCTTCCCTGTCTGATCTGCTGCACTGCTTTCTACTCCAGGTCTTGTTCTCCTTGCTCAATTTACTGCTCCACCTTATGTTCCCTGCCCTGTTCTCTGTCCAATCTGTTGCTGTGATTTCTGCTCCCTGTTCTATCCACTACTGTGCTATCTGCCCCCTCCTTGATCTGCTGCATGCCATAAGTGGTATGTGCACCACAGTTTGGCCACCTCTGTACTAATATAATTAACGATAGGGTTACAAGACATTAGCCCTGGATAATACACACTGTGATAAGCCCTGTGATAAGACACAAGCACAACTTCTATATATAACATCCCCCAGGCCTAGTGCAGCATTCCTAAAGCTTCCAGTTTTTCTTGTACAAAGATCGGAATAATTCAATTTATATGTACCTAGAAAACAGCAACATGTATACCAAATTACCTTAATTCTTGGTACTCCTGTCATGATCATGTACATTCTGGATTCTCTGGAACCATCCTTAACAATCCAGTGTAAGAACCAACTTTAGCTGCTACCTCTGTCAGGGGCCCTTAAAGCATAACCTGCCCAGCCCCATCCAGTCTAAGAACTTCATGGGCACATCTAGATGAATGTCCACATGTGGTTTGAAGACAAATAGCAGCATTACATAACTGTGCTACAAACAGATGCCTACAGCTGTTTTGGCTGGATGTAGACTTTCTATTCCAAGGGCTAAAAGATGTTGCCCAGCTTGTCTAGGAATTGTGGAAGACACTGCTCATAATGTTTTAGAATGTTCTTTATATAATGACATAAGGAGAAAGTATTTATCACTGTTCTTGCAGAAATTGATATACTTTTCAAACAGAGAGAAATTAATCTGGCTCTTTCAGCAAACATGCATATTTAGTAAACTGTCTTGCAATTTTTGCTTATAAGGCTGAAGCGATCAGACTTAAACAGTCTTTATTGTTGATCTGATTGATACATGTTATCACTATATTTGATTTTACTGTGTCAATTGTGGACCTATGTACAATATTTTTATTGATTCATGATCTGATTTATCACTATATTTATACTTTAACCATTTATATTATATTTATACTTGAGTATGTTCATTCTAGGAGTAGGACTAATGTTTTTATAATGGTTGGCTTTATTTTATTATGATATTTGTATTTTTGTTATATTTGTTTAAATTTATTTATATTATGGTTGTATGTTTGTCATGTTGTTTTCAGGAGCAAGGCTTTTAGCCAGAATCCTTAATAATAAGTTGAAGTGAAGCAAGCTCAAAATTTTATTTCAAAATTTCTTTCTTTCATAGTGCTGCTGATACTTTTCTCTGGGGAAAGCCCATGCAAACATGCTCTGGTGTGTGGCAAGTTAACCCGGGTGGGGTAAAGAAGGCTGGGGCCAGCACCTGGGGTGGCCCCAGCAGACTTCCTAGGGGCCCTGGGGTCCTCCCAGGGTTCCAGCAGTGATGATCCAGTTTTGAGTGGCACATGCTGCTGCCACAAGCACCGCTCTGCTTTTTTCTAGCTTGGGCTTTTTTGACACTGGGATCAAATCCCAGCACCACGAGGAATGCCTGCATGTGTGGTGTCCAGTGCCGCAGCAGATGGGTCTGTGGCACGCCTACCAGTCTGGACATGCCCCCGTGAGTTCAAGGTCAGTTTTCAGTCATATCTGCTTTGGCCAATGCTTTAGCAAAGCCTTACAGGAGTTGAATACGCACTGATCAATGCTTGTAATAATGAATACTCCAGTAAGGCCTATACTCCCATTTGGCTTTATGAACCTCCCAAAAGCAGGTCTTTCCTGACAACAGTTGCATGGATTATTCAGTCTATGCTGAGAGGCACAGTGCCATTTCAGGAATGAAAGTATATTATGGATAGTTTTATTACAAATTCCTTTTTTTAACACTATCAAAGAAATCAAAGCTGTGCATCTGACACGCACTTCCGAGCATAATACAAGCTTAGATGTTTTGCTTCTCTGTATTTTAAGGGGAAAAAAATATTAGTGATCTTGGTATGTAGAACACCACTTTGAGAGAGAGAAACATTTGAATCTTCAGACAATGCTGAAGTAGTATCACAGAGCACCTCAAAGAGCTAGTAAAAGATATAGAGCTTTTCTACACCAGGGATCCAAACCAACTCCTAGTATGGAGAGAGAATCCATTGGAGCTGGATCCATCCTGAGTTCAGATCTGCTATCAGATATGAGTATACTGTCATGTATCTTAGTCCCACTTCTGGCATGCAGGTATTTAAACCATCTCCTAGTTATTACTTTGGTTCATAGTTTCTGTTGCAAGATACGGACCAAATGGTACCTTGAAACAATACTGTACTTCCAGATCAGGTAGGAAGACCTGTCCCAAGCATACTGTCAGTTTGGTCAAATTAACACTTCTGTCTTGTTTTCAGCAGAGGTCCAGGACACACATTTAAAATGGGACTGTTATACACATGTGCGTGCACACGTGCACACACACGCACAAATCCTATCATGCTCCATTTGGTCTGTAGAGAAAGGATTTCAACCAGTTTGTTCATTAATAATAAATCTACCCTAAATCTGCTAAAATACTGGACTAAAATATTACATATGCTATTTGCAAGTGTATCTTGTGTCCCCCTGCTGGCTGCACAATGTCAGCACTGCATGCCCTTCACTCCAGGGTTTCAACATTCAAATGTGTATACACATGGCTCTGAGTAAGTTTTTCTACCAGAACAAGCCTCAAACAATTCTCCCAGAGAGTATGAATATGTGTATGCAGCTTCAATCTAATACAGATTTACCATATTTATGCATTTTAGAAGTTAGTTATTTTTACAATTGAATTGTCTGTTTGACTTTATTTGCTATAACTGAAAATGGAGAGCAAATTACCATAGGACATTGCAATTTTTATTCCAGAACAAAAAGCTAATCACATTATGGGCTTGTTCAAATCTGACAGATTAGCACCCCTTTCATACCACTGGGCCTTAATAACAGACAAAATAATTGTATTTCTCTATATGTACAACCATTGAGAGAAATTAGGTCTGCTTTACCTCCCTACCTCTGACCATGTCCAAATGTGCAGGGGCACGCACTTGCAGCGGCACAAATTTGTGCCACAACACATGCCTTTGCACATGCACTTTGGTGAGCAACAAATTGTCACACTTGAAGCAAACTTCCCTTGCCCCATGCCTCCCAGTTCCCTGAGTGCTGAGGGGGCACACATGAAATAGTAGATGCTCTGACCAACAGCCAGAGCATCTCCCTGGAGGACCAAGTTCCCACGCACACTATTGTAGCATGCACTACAATAGTGTACACCGCAATGCTTTTTTTCTTGGGCTTTTTATTTTTTTTGCTACTGGGAAATCCCGGTAGCAAATTTTGCCTATGTGCTTCGAATTTGCAGCAAGAGGTACATGCTAATGTTCTGGGTGTGCAGTTTGTGGTACCGCAAAGAGGCTTACAGTACTACAAACTGCATGTGCCTGTGTGTCTGGATGCAGCCTCTCAGGGCAAACAAGTTTTCAGCCTTTCCCAAGACAACATCCCTGCACTCAACCCCATCCCACCCACTGTACTATTTGAATGCAATTCTCCTCGTCCTGTTGCAATTTGTGTCTTTGTAGATATTCCCCTACCACTTTGGAACTTAGGAACTGTGAAACAGTACTATCCTATTCTTTACTTATTATTGTTGGCACTGGATTTATGACCCAGATATCTTGTTCTGGGTGGAAGCAAACCCTTACCAACTATGACCTCTCCATTCGATAACAGGCAAATTCTGTTGATACACAGTGATAGCAGATAAGAATAATGCAAACAATTCCATATCTACCAGTCCTAGAGCTGACATCAGAGGGAAGGTACATCTGGCCAGTACACAAGCTTTACCCTGAGGTTCTCTCTTGAATGTCAGATGTCAGCAACCTGGAGGTCAGAGGATGAGGCCCACCCCTCACAAATGGGGTGGGTGAGATGGGTTGGTGGTGTGCCCTCTGTCAATTGTGGCCTCGGGTTCCCCTCTTGGGGACCCTTTGCTGTTCTGAAATCCCTTCTTTTGTATCTTTTTCCCTCTGTGATGACACTTTATCCTTGGGCATCATTGATTGATCTTCCTGTGGTTGTTATACTGCCCATGTTCTGTTTCATAGTTTCATAGTTATATGATGGGGAATCCCTACTTGAGAGCATGGAGGCGGAAAGGGATCTTGGTGTCATTATTGACTCCAAGATGAACATGGGCCGACAATGCGAGGTCATGGTTGGCAGGGCTAACCGGACCTTGTCGTGCATCCACAGGTGCATCTCGAGTAGAGCCAGGGAGGTGATCCTCCCCCTCTATGCCATGCTGGTCAGGCCGCAGCTGGAGTATTGTGTCCAGTTCTGTGCGCCCCATTTCAGGAGGGATGTGGACAACATGGAGAGGGTCCAGAGGAGGGCCACTCGCATGATCCAGGGACAACAGGGCAGACCCTACAGTGAGAGACTGCGGGACCTGAACCTATTCAGCCTCCACAAGAGAAGGCTGAGGGGGAACCTGGTGACCATCTATAAACTCACTAGGGGGAACCAGAAGGGTTTGGGGGAGACGCTGTTTCCCCTAGCCCCCGCTGGCATAACAAGGAGTAATGGGCACAAGTTGATGGAGAGGAGGTACAGATTGGACATCCGAAAAAACTACTTCACAGTTAGGGCGGCTAGGAGCTGGAACCAACTTCCAAGGGAGGTGGTGCTGGCCCCTACCCTGGGGATCTTTAAGAAGAGGCTGGATCCCTACCTGGCTGGACTCATTTGAGTCCCGTTTTTGTTTTTAGGGTTTTTTGTTGTTCTCCCGCCCTGGCGGGGGGTCAGGCTAGAAGATCTATTAGGTCCCTTCCGACCCTAAAACTATGAAACTATGAACTATGAAACTATGACTCCCAGCCCAGAGCACTCAAGCCATCAATCTCCCAGTAGCCCCTTCATGTAAATTGGATAACCAGGACTTCCTGATGCCTGTCAGACTGAGAGTAGAAAATATTCAGAGCACTGGGTTGGATTTTCAAAACAAAATAAAAGCAAACAAAAATAACACAAGCCAGAAAAAATATGGCGAACATGCCTGTAACAGGGAATCACTAGAAAGCAGACCCGCCCCTTTAAGGCCAAAACTTTATGGACCTGGAGTACTGGTGTGGAAGGGGTTAAAGACTGGTCCTGGCCCACTAGTCAGCTGACCAGAAGGGGCAGGACTATAAGAACCCGGGGCAGAACAACAGAAGGGGGGGGAGAGCAGCCGAAGGGGAAGGAGTGCCTCCAAGAGCTCCACAGAGAAGCTTGGGTGAGCGGCCCAAAGGCGGGAACTACAAAGCTGTGGAGAGACGGCAGCCGCACCACAAGGACTGTAACCAACAGTTGGGAGTCGAAGCATGAAGCCTGCGAATGTAAGCTGACCGGCTACTTTGCTTGATCATAGTGACTAGTGGCAATTATTATTTTTTCCTTTTCGATTATTGACTAACACTGGTGGCTTGGGTGAGGCTATTAGGGGATGGAGGAGGCCTCATAGGGGACCCACGGTAGCGTGAGGACCCGGCCCCAGAGAGGGGGCAGCGAGAGAAGCCCCAGAGAGGCGGGGCAGAGAAGGTGCAGTGTGAGACAGGGCTGCGGAGAGCCCGAGGACCAGGGGGCCAAGTTGTAACAAGGTCCGACACCATAAAAGGCTAGAGCCTCAGAGTCAAACCCTGTTTGGTGGGTTTTGGACGGGAAGGCCAAGCTAGAGAAATACAGGGGTTAGGGCCATGCAGGTGAAAGACCCCAACATACAAAATACAACAGGCAGTCTCCCGCTCGCAAGAACATCAACAATAATTTCCATCAAGACATGGCAGGTGAGTATAGGGCGGGACATAAGAGCTCCAAATCATATTCCAAGGGCACTCTGCGTAAGGCGCAGATGACCAGAAAGATGGTGCTGGGGAGGGCGACTTGTTACAATGCCCCACAACATATTTTTTTTTAGTGTTATGTAAATGAAAAACAACTGCATGGATATTTGGCTAAGACTTACTAAAAGCTTACATTGAAAGTGAAGCCACACTTAAAAAGTCTTATAACCCAAAACAGAATATTTTGGCAAGTTATGAGAATTATAATGGAAAAGCTTTCACACTTTAACTGTATTAAAAGCTCTCATGATCTTATTGCAAGTCAACTGATCTTTCATGTTGCAATTTAAAGCCTGAGATCCTGCAGAAATATACTTTTTTATTAGAGTTTCAATAATTCAAAAAAGGAAGTTTTTAGCCTTCATTGTTTTGGAGGAAATCTTGAAAAAATGACCTTATTGCTGTCTAAAAGCCTCAAAAACAAATGACAAAGGAAATGAATCCCATATTTATTATTTTATCATAACGTCATGATTGTAAGCTTAACTCAAAATTTTCAACTCTGAGTTATGATTCTTGAACATTTGTCAATACTGCCTTATAGTTTCTGCAACCAGTAACTAACCTTTAGTTCTTCTAGGTCAGGCCTCTCCATGCTCACTACAGCTGCTAATAGCTGGTCTTCCAAACCATCTCGAGTTACAGTAAAATTGATGAGGGTACACTGTGCTTGCATCTCAGGTTGGTAATGGGGATTTGCTAGCTTTGTGTGGAGGATGAGACGGAAATTGGGGTTATACTCACATTCCTTATCTCCAATTTTAAGATACCTGAAATAGAAACAACAGGAGTAACTGTTCATGTGATTTCCAAAAGTGGTTTAGCCCAATTACTAATGCCATTTCAAGTATTAGATTATATACGTCCAATACATACCCTATTTGATTCTAAGATAAGGGTTTTTCCCCCCATTTACTGTGGTGAAAAGAACCCTCATTTGGAATCTAGTATGAGGCCGGTGTGTTGGGGGGAGGGGATGGGGGGGGCTGGCAGCTGCTGAAACTCCAGTTCTGGCCCCAGCCCTGGGTCAGGGTTGGAATCACAGCTGCTGTCTGCCACCCTGCTGCCTCTGTGTTGCCTACCTCTCCCCTGCAGCAGCCTCAGGGTCCCTTTGCCCCCCTGACCTCACACACCCCTTCCTGCCACCCCTTTCTTCCCCCAACTCACCCTTGCTCTGCCTGGAACACATAGCATCACCCCAACCTGGCCCCATAGCAGAAGTACCAGCACCTACCACCATGTTCTGAGGGGTTGTTTGCTACATCCCCTTTTATTGAATTCTAGATCTTCCCCTGTTTTCAGTTAATTGATCAGACTGCCTGGCAGAGGAGCAGGGGTTAGATGTCCAAAGTGTGATAGAAAAGTTACATATTTCATATCTATGTTATACATTGAATAACTACAAACACTAATTCAACTGTAGTCATTTCATTTAAAAAATCACTGGCCAGTTATCACACACACATCCATGCTGATGTACTCTTATTTCACAACTTTAGTATGTATACAGGTTAGTGGTCTCCCCATTGTTAAACCTTCCTTCAAATCTTCCTGTTTTCCTAGAAGATATATCATTTAACTTATCATTTACCAGGTATGATCTGTAAGGATTTTGAAACCTCCCTGCTCATTTCTTTGTACAGCCCAAATTACCATCCTATAGATCTTGTTAAACTAAGGAATGAGTACATTAAGGTGTTAAACTAAGGAGAGGCAAAGGGGGAAGGAGATGGGTTAGAAGCTGAAGCCTTGTCAAGCCAAGGTTTATTAAAGTTTTAGCACAACAGTGTCAGAGGCATAGGGCCTCTCGTCTATCCAACAGGTCTTATCAGTACTGTGAAATGCATATTTCCCAATCTCTACTGAAAATACCCTTCTTGGTGCATTCCAGGATCACATTTGTCTTTTTTAAGACCACATCACAATTACAACTCATAGTCATCTTGCAACTGACAAGTATACCCAGGTCCTTCTCTTCATAGAATGCTGGGCTGTTTCAAAACAAAGAACTTATATTTGAGATTGTCTAAAATTCTGAACCTTCCCAAAAGCAGGTTTTTTCTAGAACTTTGGGGTTTCTCAAATATCTAATTTTTACAATTATTTTCTTTAAAACTATTTTGCCACATTTACCCAAATCCAAGACTACCTTGAATTTAAGATACCCCTCACCCTCCCAAAATTACTTCTATACATGAAAAAATTATAAATGTATTATAATTTTCCATGTTTGGAATTTAATTATTGGGGAATCATCTTAAATTTGTCCCCAACACTGCAGTAGGAAAAGCAATGGTAGCAGGACAGGTAGTGAGGGTGCAGGCAGTAGAGCAGGCAGTGAGCAGGTATGTAGCTTGCCCGCTGCTTTATGGGGGAGCCCCAGAGGTGCTCCCCTCATCTCCTGGAACTTGATGGGCATAGGAATAGCTACAGGGAGTGGATGTATATGGTGCTCGCAATGAAGAGCCAGTTTCTCCTTCCTTTGTGCACCTTCTCCCCACCTGACCTTTTCTCCCACCTGCCCTTGCCATGCCCTTCCCAGAAGTAGGCACTGGGAAGATAAACCCCTTCCCCCTTCTGCTGTTCCTGGCTGAACCAAGCACATTGGGCAGCTGTTTCCTGTAGTCCAGCTGGAGCAATGCAGGAGCAGCTCTGGGGCTTCCCTGGGCTTATTTGCTGGCAACAATGGCAGAGATATGGGAAAGGGGATGGTTTCCTCTTCCTCTACCTGCTCCCTGGTTAGTAGGGACCATGGGGGTAGCAGCAGAGAGCAGACACAGGAAGGGGGGGATGTGCCTACTGCTGCCACTGTTTCCAGTTGAGATTGGCACCCTGAGCAGTCACAGTGCATAGATGGAGCAGGGCAAAAGCAGCTTTAGAGCTCCCCCTGGGATGCCTGGGTCAGCCATGGACAGCAGCGGCATTGGGTGCTCCTCCCTTCCTATGCCTGTTCCTTGCCCAGAGTTTCAGATGCACAGAGAGGCACCATAGGGCATATCCGCATGAGAAGGAACATGCATTCCCCATGGATAATTAGGAGCAGCATATATTTGTGCTCTTGCTAGTTGTCCCTGGGGAGTGACCCTGCATGCATGCTCTGGTGCATGGCAAGTTGCCTTGGGTGGGGTAGAGAAGGCTGGGGCAGAAACTGGGCTGGCCTCAGCAGTCTTACCTGGGGTCCTGGGTGCTTCCTGGGGCTCCAGCAGTGGCGATCCAGGTGCACAGAGCTTGGCTGGCAGCTGGAGTATGGCTCTGGCTGACCAGGCTCCTGTTTTGGATGGTGCACTCTGCTGCCATGTGCGCCACCCTGCTTTTTTCTAGCATGGGTTTTTTTGACATTGGTATCTGTCAGTGTCAAAACCCCCCCGCCCACCACCACCATATTGCAAATTAGCAGCGTGGCAAACACCTGCATGAGTGGTGTGCACATGCACACTCATCTAGACGTGCCTATGGAGTACTGAGCTTGGGCAGAAACAGTAATGGTAAAAGGGGGGGTGCAACCACACAGCTACATTCTGTACCCCCACTCTTTTCCTCACTGAGAACAATTATAGGCCCTTTGTAATTGTTTCTTTAAACTGGGCACGTCTGTCTACACAATATGCCATAATGCACAGTAGCCTATTCTACTGCACAGTAATGCGTCAAGGCAAAACCTATGCTAATGCACTAATGCACAGTAGAATTAGTCTACTGCACATTAAGCATCACAAAGAACCATTCACCTTTGCCATTAAGCATTAGCGTGGGCTAATGTTCCTTTATGTAGTACCTCATATTAAAGGGTGCCTATACACGAACAGTAAGGCTGCTCCGATGTACTGGAATTCCAGCGCATTGACTCAATTATTTGAATCTGCTGAAATGTGGCAATTGGGAGTGAATTAGGAATCAAGATAACTAGATAGGGGTATAAACCAGATTCAGAGAGAGCAAGCAGAGTCCAGAGATAAGCCAGGTCAGGAAACAGGTCAAGTTACCAGAGGTGCAATTTAAAGTCATGAAAGCCCTGTTACCCAGATGCTTCCTGTTCCTCTCCCTGGGCTTGTATAAGGGAAGTGGATCAGGTAACAAGAGTCAGCCATTCAGGTATCAGGGAATAGGTGGACACTTGGACACTAAGAAAGGCTTTAGGCATACTTCATTTTGTCTTTGGGTGTGTACACAACTTCAGGCAGCTTATCAGGGAGGCGCTCTAATTCATAGCACTTTAAAAAAAGTGCCACAAGTTAGAGCTTTATTGAACCCAACAGGTGATTGCCTCTTGAGCAGGGGATGCTTGGAGCCTGCCTGCACTGACCCTCACCAGTGGTGCACATGCACCAGCAGCCTCCCAGGAAACTGCTGGACTGTCCTTGTCCTAATCCCACCCCCTTGCCAGCTGGTAATTAGCAGGAGGTGGGGAAAGAGGGATCGAACCCCTGTACTGTGCATGCCCCCCCACTACCGCTGCTGGAGTCTTAGGGGGTGCCAGACCATACCTTCACAGTAGGAAGGGCTCCCCCCCACACACCCACTGCCCCAGTTCTAGGCTCAGCAGCAACAAGACTGTTGCTATCAAGATGTTTGCATGGGGAGGAGGAATAGAGCCCCAAACTTGTGGGCCAGGTCCAGCTGCCCCCAAGACCCCAGCTGGGGGTAGCTGGGTGGGGGGTGGGGCACATACCACAGAGGAAGCTCCCTTCTCTCACCTTGCCTCCCTTCCACACTGCTCATGGAGGAGACAGAAGTTTTCTGTCTCCTGTCAGTGACAGCCCCAGGGGTGGGGCTAGGCTGGGCTGGTACTCACTAGTTCAGCCTGCAAAGCTGTATAGATGTGGGCAGAATTGCCCCAAATTAACCCTTGCAACAAGGCACTCTGCCTTAAAACAGCCCATCTGATATTTCAACAGATGAGGGTTACATTTTTGCATGCTTAATCATTTTAAAAGCAGTCATGAAAGGTTTTTACATTAAAGCTGTACAGAAATTCTGGGGCTCATCACACACAAAACAATATTTGCAAATGCCCTTTGGGAAGAGCAGCAGGCTGGTGGATTGAGATCAATGGCTGTGCTGATGAGGCTAAGGTCTGGGGTTCAAGGCTGTAAGACTGTCACAAAGCAGAAAAACAGTTTAAACTGAAGGACAATTTTGGCACAAGAAGCCATGGAAATAAACTAGCCATAAATAAATTTGAACTACAATTTGCTAAAGTCAGAGACGCAAAGTTCTGGAGTAGCCTTCCAATATGAATGGTATTATGTATGTGAGGGAAACGCAAACTACATAGGACTAGAAGCAAAACACAAGATCCAGTTTTGTTTTGTTTTTGGCTAGCTGTATTAACATTGTTTTTATGGAAGGAAAATAAAGAATAGAACATGATATTTTCACAGTCACACAAAAAGACCATGACAAAATCCAGACATTTTGGGTCCCTATTCAGCACTTTGACCACATCTTCAACATGCCTATCACCTTCAAATCACCTTATGTACATTAGGTTCAAGATTAGGATCAGTCCACAGTGCTAGAGTAGGTTTATAAAAAAAGGTCCCTTTCTCCAAAAATCCAAGAACTACCCAAGAACCAGGTTCAACCTAGACCAATAGAGATTTTTAGTGATCTATTTTCACTTTTTTCCCCAAGAAGCTTTAGGAAAATTAAGAGAAAGGCCAGATATGGACATAGAAAGGTGCCTCATTCAGTGTTCTGGATTCTTACCTTCCTTTCTTGATTGTTTCTTGACCAAGCAAGGGGCCCAAAACTGGATCTACAGATTCCT